ATAAGGAAAATCAGAATTGAGCATTGATTTTAGCTCTTTGTGGCAATTAGGGCTAACAAAAATGGCTACTGTTTATATCTGTCCATATATATTTCGTCGACCCATGAACATTTAAAAGATTCGTGCTGTGTCCTCTGTCAATATACTTTCAATGTATTGATAAAACCTATTCTTTTCATATCGGTCAATGCATGTAATTACACTGAAATATGTCACATTTTAGAATTTGAAAGAATATACATGTATAAAGCTTTTCCTCAGGTTGGTACCAAGATCAAGATCAGTTACTTAACAAGGATGATGGTCATCTTGTTAAAACTATGATCAATTTGTATGCCCCTATAATTTTTCGTGTACGTTGATATCACTTGCTCATGTTACATATTTATTTCACTTCATGTTAACCCCTTTTTCCTTGTCTTGGTTTAGGTTTTGTTTTCTTTGATGGTTGGGATGGGGGATGGGGGAGTGGATAGTTTTGTATTTAAATATGTTGACGAGTGTTGCTTTTGTTTTTTTGTTCTTTTGGTTCATTGATAGTCACAGCAAGAAACGCAGTAAAGACAGTTATCTTAGCAAATATAAAAATAATTATTTAAAAAAGCCAAAATCACATTGATTTTTAGAATTCGTTCCTGAAAGTAAAATATCACGTTTCGGATATGGTAAAAGAGAGGCGACCGATACCAAAGGGACATTCAAACTAATAAGTAGAAAAATTATAACTGACAACGCCATGTCAAAAAAAGAAAAAGACAAAAAGACAAACAACAGTATACAAAAAAACAAAATAGAAAAACTAAAGACTGAGCAACACAAACCCCACCAAAAACCGGGGTGATCTCATGTTCTCCGGAAGGGTAATCAGGTCCTGCTCCATATGTGGCACCCGTCGTGTTGTTCATTTAAGAACAAATCTGGTGACAAGTCTAATTTGGTAGGTCGCATTCGTGGAAAAGGAGGACAAGATTGTGGTTACGACGATTGGAACATATCCGTCGTCATCTGGGAAACATATTCCATAACGGTCAACCAACTCGTGATGAAGTCTGTAAAATTTTCGAAGGGATGATTTCAACTTCATCACTTAGAACTTTTGGTTTAATAGCTTCCTTGTGAGCTGCAACCCTCCATCAAGGAAATCATGATAGGCAACAAAAGCCATGGAATATCGTATCAACTGGGAGATATATACTCCATATGCAGGCGCTGCTGGAATGTTGCTACATAGAAATGGAAAGTTCACAATTGGGAGGCTCTAATCATCTCTTTTGTCTAAAGTTTTAATCTCAGCCGACCCGCATTGTCAATTTCCAGATGCAAGTCAAGATACGAGGTAGACTTAACTGTATCTGTTTTATCCTTTATTTCAAGTTCCATGGGAAAGATGCGTTCAACATATTAAAAAAATTTTGAATTATTTAGTAAGAAAATATCATCTATAAAGCGGAAAGTGAAGTTAAAGGATAAATTATCTTACAAGAGAAATGTAAATTGATTATTTTCACTTCTAGATGTATATTTTTAAGAAAACGACCTACTTATAGTACGCGTCCCTTTTCATTTATTTTGCATTGATTTAAAGTATGTCTTAATTGTATTCTTAAACTTATAACGCTGATTGAAATCAATATTGTCACCGAAATAAACTTGCACATCTTCATAGTGTCTGGTGTATCTTCGTACTAAACATATATTCATTCCGCCATAACCCAGACATTTCCAGTGTCGTCCGGGCTTTTTCAATTTTCTAGTCACGACATTTTCCGACTTTCGTTTCAAACGACAATTTAACTTTGAGGGGAAGGGTTTTGGTTTTTTTCTTTTTTTCATTCTTAAACTTTTTTTTTCGTACCACGCAAGAATCAAATTATTTTTTTTTGTCGAGCACAGCACCAACATTGTTTTAAGAGCTGAACATTTAATTCAATGTCATAGACTCTCAACCAGAAAATTTATACTTTCCTTTTCTCTGATCAAAATATTTATTTCTTCAAAGTTGGGAATCAGAATTTTTTTAAGCATAAAACTGAACAAGTTGTACATTTTCTTTTTCTAAAGGGCAGACCGTCATAAATAAAGGCTTATGATATGAAAAATTGTCTTCTTTTGGCATTGCAGTTTTATACAGTCTGACGTAAATCATTATATTCAATTAGCGGTTGAAGGTAATAGTGCAAGTTTAAAGCTTTTTTAAAAAGCTTGTTATTAGATAAGTAATATGTTTTACTGAAAACATGACCGTCTCGAATCTGATTATTTAGAAAATTTTCGGAATTTTGGCATTGTAGTTCTGTTTATTCGGAATATTCACTGTTGTTCCATAAATTGTTGTGGGATTATAAAATAAGGACAAGAAAAGGGACTGATACACTTTTTGAATTTTTACTTTTTTCGAGGTTATGGATTATATAATAAAAACTTGGAAAGGAGGTAATTTCTAAATCACCGGTGTTTATATCCTGTTCTTAATTTGGTTTACATTTTGTACCTATACATATTGGTTCTTGTTTTCCTATGAACTCATTTTTTTTCATCAAATTTATATAACTTATTTACTATTTTACTTTTTTGTTGTTGGAGAAGTTTCAAGATTATTCCGTGTACGTGGTTCTGTACTCTTCATCCGTAGAGGCAATATCGATATCTTGATAAAAAGCAGCTTTTGATCATTAAAATATTAATATTTAAGCTACAGGATATCTGTGAAATATAGAAGTTCAACCCCCCCCCTCAAATAAATCTGTTGCACATCTTGTAATATTTCAATTTGAATGTTTTTCAAAATATTAAACTCTGGTCAACTTGACTATAACTTTGTGTTTTTGTGTACAGAGAAAATAATGACGCAAGCCTTATTTGACAAATGGCTAGTTTTATTATTTGCAGTGAAAGTTGAACCTCAGATGCAATATAAGGTAAGTGTCACCGGCGATGTCTTAGGTGTAGGGTAATAAAACTCAGTTGTACGAATTTGTTTTGTCTGCAGTGAAAGTACTTCAACTTTTTGATAAACGTCAGTTGGTCAAGAAAAACTTGCAGTTAGTGTATCATGCAGCTGTGGTACCGTAATAATTTTGCGATTTTCCCGGCGTGTTTAAGTCGGATCAGTAAATATATACAGTCCGCCAAAAGTTAAGCACCACCTATCTTTGTTGCATTGAATTTTTTTTCATTTAAAAAAACCAGTTTATCCTCGAAAAAGAGAAAAATATTCATGTAGCAATTTTGCTAACATATGCCATAAACAAACCATAAACTTAAGTTTGGTCACTGATGCAGGTTCTATGCATTTGAATTTTGCGTTCATAGAAATAGTGAAAATTACACAAATCAGAAACGGAATTTAAGTTTTACTTTGATTTTAATTTTTTACAACAATTAATCACCCAAAATCATTAAAAGTCTCTACAAATAATCTTTGGTATGTTCGGCAAATTTAATGTCAATATTTAAGTCAATAGGATGTGTAACCACCTCTCTTCCGGTACAGTTCCATAACACGGCGTCTCATACTCTGTACAAGCCTTCTGAACTTTAGTTGAGCAAATTTATTCCATTCATCAACAATTGCCCCTCTTAAATCGCCAAGATTTTGCAAAGGTGGATCTCTGCGATTGAGATTTCTGCCAATCATGCGGGCATCCCAGACATGTTCGATAGGGTTCAGTGTGGTCTAGCGTTGTCGTCTATGTACGAGGGTCTTGAAGCAAGTTGGGGATTCTCAAAATGAGGAACTACAATGTTTCTAAGCACTAAATCCCTGTATGTCTATCTGTTCATGTTACCCTGCAAAATATGCATACCCAGCTTACAACAGTATGAGAAGAAACCCAATACTGTAACACCACCATCAACGATTGCTGTCGTTGGGCAATTGTTGTTTTGGTGATGGACAGTTTTATTTCCCCACCAAACTCGTATTCTGCCGTCTATTGGTCGTAACAGAAACCAACTCTCATCTGACCAAGGAATATTTTGCCAGGTTCTCATGTTCCATCGTCGATGGTCATTAGCCCTTTGAAACCTGATTATACGGTGCCTGGCTGTTAGGGCACGTCTTTTGACAACACGACGTGCTCTTCGGAAGCCTCTATGAAGTCGACGGACCAATGTTCGAACACTGACACGACCACCTGGAGGCCAGTGTTGTCTAAGCTATGGGGTAGGAGTAAATGGGTTGGCTTTAGCACGACCAATAGGTATATCCCAGGTAGCATAAAAACATTTTATTGATATTTTTAAAATATATTGCAAAATGTCACAAAAATATCATTCAGAAATATTGTTTTGAAGTGAAATGTATGGCTGTACTAATGTGAATAGCATATTTTCAGCTGATATTTGTTCTGAATGTTTAAAGAACATTTTTTTTAAAATATTTTGATTTTATATTTAAATAACATAACTTTGATATCATTCAGTGTCAATTGAAAATATCCAGACACGATATATATCAAACGTTATCCAAAAATATCCTTTTCATGTCTAAAATATGTTTTATGGATCTCTACCAAATGTTTTTAAAATATCAGAGGCAAGTTTAGGTAGAAATATCTCTTGAAAATGTAAATTAAATATTTCAACAACGTTTAATGGATGTCTTCCCAATATTCTTAAAACATCTTGGTTAAATGTTTGTAAAAAACATTATATAAATATTCAAAAAACGTTTTATGTTCAGGCCAACTCTCAGCTTGCAAATATATCATGCATATTTAGACTAACATTTATCAGCTCTCCTCCAGGGCACCTGTTTCTTGTTCTATCATTACATGTAGTGTAATGTAGACTGTTTATTTTTTTATTTTGTTTTGCAATGCGATTGTTTTTCTCCGACTTGTGGAAATTTGAATTTTTGTTTGATATTTTTCAAACTCTTTCAAACAATTAAGAGCAGTCAAAGCATGACATTGTATACTGCCAACACAAAAGCATTGATAGAATAGCTTATTCATATGACAGGACGACTGTCAATGAATATTGAATTTTCCTGAATAGCATTTTAACATTTTATTAATTATTCTGAGTCTGCATCTTCTACTGCGAGCCTCCTCTTCTTGTTAGCCTTCTGAAGAAGAAATAATACATAAATGTTTAAACTCAATTGAGATTTAAGCTTTTACGCCGATATCAAGTCAAACATTATGAAAAAAATTGTATTATAATAATTAGATTACAGGTATGCCGTTATTTTGAATATGATACAGATTCAGGAAACAGAACTATGTCAAAAAACGTTCTAACTAAATAAAGAATACAAAGTCAAATCTAAATCAAAGTGACACTTAGCATTGACAGTAATATTAAACATTTTATGCATATATATCTGCGAATTTCAAATCCGATGTAGCAGAAAGGTTGGCTATTATGTTACTTACTTAAAGTAATTCATTCTGGGCTATCAAATGGTAGAATGCATTTTGTCCCATCTCCATTTCCATGCATTTTGAAGCCAGAATATTTTCAATGATTATTAAAATTCCTTTTGCACTCTGCTTTAATTTGTCTTCTGTAGTTCTCAAATACCAGATCTATAAATTTATATGAGAATGTAAAAATGTATATTAAAAAGAAACTCTACTTCAAGTAATTTATACACGAATCTGTCTGCAAATTTGTATAGACTTTTTCCGTATGATATTTTTTTCACATTTTACCCCCTTTTTTCACATATACATGCCATTTCATTTTGTTTAAAATATATCTTTTTCACTTTTCCATGATATCCTAATGTTTAATTATAACACTGCATACATATAATTTAAAGAAGTAGCGTCTTCAACTTTTTGTGATATTTACTCCTACAAACTATTCAAATACAGATTTTGTTTTGCCAAAGTTTTGCCGAGGACAAAAAAACAAGATTCAGTCGAGTCCGTATATCAATTACGATTTTTTAAAATTACAACTTACGTGTTTCTTTCTCTTTGAACTGAGATTTTCTCTTTTAGTTTTCTTTGTTTTCACTGCTTTCGGAAGTTACAAATAAGCGACAGGAAATAACCTCAAAAATGACCATCCCATTACATTTAGATTTTCTATAATCTTAATTACCATAGCAACTATCTTTGAAATGTGTCCAACATCTCGTTAACCTTATCAGAATGTGTTTGATTAACAGAATGGTTGTATCAAATATCACTCTGTATATATTTGTTTATTATGTTTCATCAATTAAAGTTGAACGAAAAAAGTTATAATAATACACGATTGAAATGTTCCTCAAAGGTTAAAATTATCAAGAAGATTATCTCATATAACCTCTTTGGAATTATTAAAGCTCTTCTATAAAAATGAGGAGTCATTCATGTTAATGTGATATCTAAAAAATATTTAACACTTGCTTCACTAAAATATTACTAACAAACATTTGACAAACATTTCTGTCATACATCTTACAAATATCTAGAAGACATATTATGTTAAAATGTTAATAAAAGGGTCTTCAACTAATATTTTCTAAATAAAATCGAAAAAATATTTTGTTAAGACGTTATTTAAATATTCATTAGATATTACCAGCTTATATTTTTAATTAGGACAAGAAAATTATTTAGATGTTACATCAAAAAGATATTTTATTATACATCAAACCTATGCTTAACGCAGATATTAATCAAAAATGTTTTATAAACATTTCTTTTACACATCTTACAAATATATATTATAATTATAATATAAAAATGTCCATCAGATATTGTTTTTATATTGTAAAGAAATATTTCTTCGACATAAAACTGTTCTCATTTATAAAACTGTCTTTTAAACGTTTAAAAAACATCAGCAAAAAATATTTATTTATTTATTATAAAAAAATATTTACAAAAAATGTTTTTATATTTGCAATCAAACATTGGGATGAAATGTTATTAGTAAAATATCATTCACACCTAATTTCTGATGTAAACAAAATGTCTTTAAAATATTTTTGTGAAAATATTTCTGATAAACATATATACAACCAGTCAATAATATCATGAAAATATTTTGTGTTAGTCTGTCATCACGATAGGTAGTTAAACGGGGTCTTCCGGACCTTGGTCTATCATTTACAGTTCCTGTGTCAATATGACGTTGTAAAAATCGGACAATGACGGTGCGATTAACATTGAAATGGTTACCAATGCTCCTAGTGCTCCTATCGGCATTTGACATGTCTATTGCTTGTCAACGTTCAGTCACAGATAACTTACCGCTTGCCATATTTCACAGTGACTTGGTGAAGGCCAAATTTCACCTGTACGCTGGACAGTAGGAAGATGATTTAAAGGCATCGAAACAGTGTATTTGTAAAAGTGCAGATGACCTTTAATAAAAGGTTGCTTGGCGGGTATATCGGAGTTTAATTGTTTTGGTCGTAATGAATTTTCTTAGTGTATGCTATAGGCAATTCATAACACCAAACATAAATATTTTTTTCGCAATAGTTCAAAAAATATTGACAGTTATATTTAGGTGGTGCTTAACTTTTGGCGGACTGTATATATGGAGGACTTGTATTTAAGGTTTTGGTAAAGGCTAACTTTGTCAATAAGTCTGGAGTTATGTACATTTGAAAATAAACATGTAAATAATTATTCGTATTATTTCAGTTAATCATGAATTTACAACAACAAAGTGAAACATTGTCGTGCCATTGTATGGTATGTCCGTCTGTCTGTGTCGTAGTCGTCCTTCCCGTCGGTCACGTTATACTAATATGAGGCAGGCATTACCTGTGAAAGGGGACGAAGTCTATATAAATTATTTTTTTTAATTCAGACATAATTTATGTTCTAAATCTGTTAAAAAAGAAACGGAAATACCGTAACGTTTCCGATTTTGGTTCTGTTGTTAGGGATTTTAGTTGTGACGTTATTTTAGTTATGACGTCATATTTAATGTAAACAAAGAAATGCTATCATCAGGTAACGTTTTTTCATATCAAAGAATAATTAGAAATGAAATTGTTATTGTGTTCCTTCCTATATTTTACTGGACTGATAAATATATATTTCACTCAAAGTCTCATGACAAACGAGACCGGAAGAAGGAAGTAGATTTCTGCGCAAATGCGGGAATTAAAAAAAGTTACAAAAAAAAAGTTAACGATTTTGAGTTCATTAGTACAATGAAAATTTCGGGAAATTTTCCCGATTTTTTTTTTTTTTTATTGCTTTTTCTAATGTAATAGGGGACTTCGTCCCCTTAATATGAGGCAGGTGTTACCTGTGAAAGGGGACGAAGTCAGAAAACCTTTAGACTCCCGTTAAGGTGGTATGGGAGTATGAATTAAAAATTGATAGAATTTTTTTCATACCATAGGCGGATCCGGGGGGCCCCCTTTTGTGGGAAAAATTTGGTTGATCATTTAGGGAATAACTGAAGCATGACTGGAGCGGGCCCCCTTAATAGGTCAGCCAGTGCTCCCCATCCCCCCTTATGAAAAGTTCTGGATCCGCCACTGCATACTTTGCTTAAATGTAGTATATATTGTGATATGTTCAAAAATATAATAAAAAATGATAGGTTACCGAGCATTTTCTGAAGCTACAGGTTGTGACAAAATGACACATGGATTATACAGGGAAAAACATCATTAATTATGCGATTAGAAGCTACATGTAAACTGAATGATAGAATTGTAAAATAAATACGAGAAGACAACTTTTGGAAAATGCTTTGATAATATTATAAGAAAAGATAGGGTCACTGTACAATTTTTCGGGCTAAAATATAAAATAGCAAAATTTAATTTAAATTCCTTCAGAAAATTTCAGAGTTACCTCACCTTCAATTCATATGATTTAGATTTAAAAAATGGATACCTTTTCATATATTGCGTATGTGAAAATGTAACCTTTTCCCATATTGTTTGGGTTTCATGTGGTGTGTAATGTAGGAGTGGAATACCAAAATGTCAAATATGAAAACTTGGTTGATTAAAACACAGCAGGAACACCAAGAACGGTGACAGACGAAGAAGTTACGGAAACTTTATTGACCTTATCATATTTTTCTGATATTTTCCCGACCATTCCAGCGGCACATCATAGCACCTTGTATACAGGAAGTGCCACTAGTAATCTCAATTTATATGGAAAATGTGGAAGGTGATATACGATACTATTAAATATGGATGCCTTGGAGACATGTCAGACACACCAATACAATGGACAATAACACTATTGAAGCTAGTAAAAACTTGAACAGTTCTATGCTTTCGAATGGCAACTATCCAATGTCTCAAATAGCTTATAACTGTTGTCTTCTTAAAACGTACAGAAAAAAAGTAAAATTAACTGACGACTGCTAAAAAAAAACACAAACAAACAAACATGTCGAGGCCTTTAGTTTTCTCGTTTGAATTGTTTTACATTTGTAATTTCAAGGCCTTTTATAGCCAAGTATACTGTATGACTGTATGGGTTTTTCTCTTTTTAGAAGGCTATACGGTTGCCTATAATTGTTTATATCCACTTCATTTGATCTTTGGTCGATAAAAATTTAAAATAAGATATGTCGTATGATTGCCAATCCAACAACTCTCCATAAGAAATCAAATGACACAGAAATTAACAGCTATATGTCATCGTACGGCCTTCAAAAATGAGCAAAGTCCATACTGCACAGTCAGCTATAAAAGGCCCCAAAATTACAAATGTAAAACAATTTAAAGGAGAAAACTAATGGCCTAATTGATGTACAAAAAATGAACGAAAAACACATATCATGTAACACAGCAACAAACGACAGCCACTGAATTACAGGCTCCTGACTTGGGACAGGCATATACATAAAGTTGTCTCATTTGCAATTACACCACATCACCTAATTTTTATAAACATCTGAAAAACATCACACCATAAAACAGTATAGAAATGGGCTTGAGTCATATAAGTGTTACAGTTTCAGCTTCTGTATACATAGAGTAGAAACACTCTAACAGTGGTCATGAAAGTGTCTTATTTTCTTGCTTCAGACTTTAAACTCTGATTGAAGGTTGTAAAATTCAATATACATCATATCTCATTGGGATGCATGACCTTTGAGTAATGGGTTTGCAAGTGGCTATACTGTGAATGTAGAAGGTGATAACATAAAAACATTGGTCTAAGTTTGTGTGACAAGGTAAATGTTGCTAGAAATAATCATATTTCATTGTTTCTTCACCATGTTTACTGCATCGCGTTATGTACAAATTTCTCACTTCTTGCTAATAGATCTGGTGATGTGAAGTTGATTTCTCTTTTTTCTTCTCATTGTATCATTTTCCTTTTTTTTACTCTTTTGTGATGGTAAGCCATCATGCATGTTATTGTATATAAAAAACAAAAATTGTGTCAATTTTGCTCAATACCTCAGTGTAACATGTAGATCTAGGTACATCATTATGAAGATATGCGGTTGTAAATGACACATTCTATGTAGAATGATTTTATAATTTTGAATAAGAAAAATATATGTCTATTGTCATTATTAAAAATTCAGCTTCGTTTCGGTGTCACTTCTTTTTCTTTTGGCAGTAAGTTTGTCACTAATAAAATTATTGAAATATATGATAAAGAAGAGTTGTTCTGCGAAATCATTTTTGAAATTATTTATTAAAAGGTATGATTTAAAACTAAAAGATGTATTTTTTTTGTTAATTGTCTGCGTTTAATTTTTTTTATGTCATACAATGCTTATTTTTTATTCCTTGAAAGTTGTTTTGTATTTTTTTTTTTATAAAAAGGTATTTATTTATAACCTAACTTCAGAATCAGTTGAAAAAGAAACGGAAATACCGCAACGTTTCCGATGTTGGTTCTATTGTTAAGACATTATGTTGTGACGTCATTTGCAATGTAAACAAAGAAACGCTATTGTCAGGTAACGTTTTTTTTATCATATCAAAATCTGAATTAAAAGAATGTATATTTAAATGG